CCAGAATCTGGGAAAGTAAGGATACAGAATTTCCCAAACAAAAGCTCAGGTTTCTAAACAAGAGGGAGATTACTTGGGATAGATTCTAACCCCCCAAAAAGTGTGCTCTTTCAGTCCAGAGAAAGGAAGCTATTCTCTGTAGAGGAGCACCACAGACTAAAAGGCAACTAAAGACATTTCTGGGGATGGCAGGATTCTGTGAAAAATGGATTAAAGAGCTTTTAACAGAAGCCCAACATTAGGAATACCCGAGTAAGCCATTCACCTTGTTTATAAAAGGATCCCCTTCAAATCAATTGTAGCCTAAATGGAAGGGACTTTACCAGGGGCTACTGAGCATGCCTACCTCAGTGAAATTAGAATTAAATTTCTACCTCTTGAGTCTTCATAAGTACTCAAAAGACATGTCTGCTTATTCTTGTGATGTCTTCAAAAAACAAAAAGCAAAGCTTTTGCTTTCATCACATAAAGACTACTGCACCTTAAGGCAGACATGTTGATTCTCAGACATGTTTTGATTCTCTCTGGGAGCTGTTATTGACAAGAAAACTCCTTAATGGATTCTTCTATTAGAATCCTCTATGCTCAGGCTAAATGGTTTTATAATATGTGTAAGGGTAGCCTATTGCAGGGAGCCTATAAGATATGTTATTCCACTTGCAATTCATTTGGTTCCAGTTTTGCTTATGCTGACTGATAAACTTACATATTTCAGAACTCAATAACTGACCATACAGAGGATATAGTCATTGGGGGTGACTAGGAGTACTCCAGCTCATGAAACGAATTCGTTAGATGAGACAGAAAGAGACTTCCAGACCAAGGACAGACAGGGCCTAGGCCCAGATCAGCAGGAAGTCACTATAGAAGATACAATTCTATGCCCCTTCAGCATCCCTTAAGATTAAGGTCTGGAACCTCTAATGGGGAATGATATAGGTAGGCAGATAGTAGATTCACGAGCTGGAAAACCACGCCCCCCCACCCCCTGTGTGATCTCATGCTCTCACCTGATCTTACCTGTATACGCCCATTACACAGCCACTCCCCTTTTGCAAGTGGATAAAAGATGTAGAGTGTGCTGGGCCCCTCCCTTGTCCCATGCCTCTGGGTGCGCAGCCTTCTGGCCACCCCTCAATCTGCCTTCCTGCCTATGCACTGCACTGCCTGTGCTTACTCCCAACCTCATGCTTTGCTCCATGTGGTTCTGGCCTGTGGACCTCTCACACGTGGCTCCCAGTCTGCTCTCTTCCTGGTATGGACTCCTCAGCTCACACTTCTAGACTCTTTCTCCTTTAAAGAAAGCCCTCACTTTCCTGTGTATTTCTCTCACTAAATAAATGCTAAACCTTACCATGCCACCTGTTTTATTAGAGCCAATACTCAGAATTCTTATCTGAATAGATGGCAAGGACCCTCAAGATACTAACATTTAGGGGCCAGCACTGTGGCATAGCGGGTAAAGCTGCCGCCTGCAGTGCCAGCATCCCTTATGGGTGCCAGTTCAAGTCCCAGCTGCTCCACTTCCAATTCAGCACTCTACTATGGCCTGGGAAAGCAGTGGAAGATGGCCCAAGTCCTTGGGCCCCTGCACCCACATGGAAGACCTGGAGGAGACTCCTGGTTCCTGGCTTCAGATCAGCCCAGCTCTGGCCATTGTGGCCATTTGGGAAGTGAACCAGTGGATGGAAGACACCTCTCTCTCTCTCTCTCTCTCTCTCTGCCTCTACCTCTACCTCTCTATAACTCTGCCTTTCAAATAAATTATTTAAAATGATTAAAATAATGATATTAATATCAAAATAATAAATAAAGGTAACCCATATCAACAAGCCTGAGAAGTTAATTATGGATTTCCTTACATTCTAAGAACTTCTGTCCCTATTTACCACATCTGAAGTTGGACTTTCTTTTGCATCAAATGTGCCTGTGACTTATTACATTTTGCACATGAAGGTAATAAACTGATGAGACATCTTACCAATATGATACAAATTTCCTCAATTTTTGGATGAGAGAACAAGCTAAAGCCACTGAGGTAACTCGTCCAAGTCCACACATCTAGAATGAACCTGGAACACCACCTCCAGAGCATGGGGTGACCCAGTGCTGCTCTGCAGCAGGCTGGCTGCCTTCCCTCCTAGCACCTTTGAATCCCTCAGGTAGCCAGGACTTGAGCGAACGATCCAAGGCTCTGTCACCAGGTCCCCATGTCTCTCTGCCCCTTGTTCAACAAATGCAGCTGCTAAGAAAGATACCCTTTACTCAGTGAATCCCAGACGACAACAATAGGGTCACTCTTGGCTGCTGCTTAAGTTTAGGCCTCTGGGAACTCAAAATGGACAAATTACCTGTACCCACCTCCCCACCACCACACCCCAGGTCTAAGCATTGATTGACAATCTATGCCATGAAATTTTTACATATGGGGACCTTTCTCTGCTGTTCTACCCCCATTAGATTTTAATTGTCCACTACCCCAACCTGCCCCTAATTTTCATCTTATGAAGACATTTAAAACGTTTGTGGAAAATGCAATGAAAAGATAAATCTGTTTGGGTGCAAACAAATTTTGAAATATGTGCCAACACAAAGGCTCTTCAAGAAGTTCATGAAAAATGCACCATATGAAAAACTATGCAAGGATTTCAAAAACTTTTGCACAAAAATGAGCTTGTCCTTTCATTTCATTTTCCCATGAACTTTTTTGAAGTACCCTCAGCATGGCCCATCTTGTTCAGCTGCTATCTCTCAAAATCACATAGGACACCACAAACCCCTCCCCCAAGTATAGATGCCTTGAATTATAAATCACCACCCCCTCACAGTGAGACCAGGACAGTAGGCATTTTGGAAAATCTCCCCAGGCAATTGTGATGTGCAACTCTGATTAAGAACCATTGAATTCAAACTGATGGGCTCTGACTTCTAACTGCTAATCCCATTTGGCTGGGGCCCCAGCTAGGAGGCCAAAAGGCTGATGGGCCAGGATTGGCATTAATCAGGGCTGCTCCCAAGCGAGGCTGGATCAGCTGTGGGTTCAGCAGAGTGTTCCAGAGGACAAAAGCTCATGAATTTCAAAAACGCTCTCCCAACACACGGGCAGTGGGCACCTTGTCACCAGCACCTTCAGCTTGGAAGGTCGAAAGAATGAGTTATGAAGGCTCGGATGAACCAGGTGGAGGAAGCGGTGAGACAGTAGTGAACAAGTGGGGAAGATTGGGGCAGATTCCAGGGCAAAGATTGTGGCGGTCAAGGCCACTGCTCTTTCCCCTGCTCTAAACACAGAATGAGCAGTCACACGTGGCTCAGATCCACCAGGAGCCTGGCCTCATGTTTTATCAAAATGCTCAGCCCTGCCACACTGTTTGCAATCGTAACTCTGGAAATCATCTTCAAGTGGAGGTGCCAAGTCCCCGACACCCATTTGTTTCACTGCTAGGGGTGGAAAGACGTGAAGGGATGAAGAAAGAATAGCCTGGGAGTCAGGACTATTTCTCGAGCATAGCATCAGGAGCTCTGGAGGGAAAATCAGGTCAAGTGAGAAGGCCACAGGTCTGTACTCCTTTTGTTCTGAGTCTTGACTGATACGTGCAGGGTAACCGATTGGCTCACCTTGAGCAAGCAATGAATGGTGAAGAAGTCATAGAAGCTAGCTAAAGGTTTTTTCTTTGTTTTTTTCTCTGTGAAGCTTTGGAAGAGTCTAGAAAAGGGGTAGGGGAGGGTGAGAAAGGAAAGGAACCTAAAGTGATCACTGCCTTCTGGTGACGTTTGCTTCCTGGGGCCTCTTATGTGATGCAACAGATACTGTGGCTCAGCGAGTTAAGCCACTGCCTGCAAGGCTGGCATCCCATACTTGTTCAGACTCCTGGTTCAGACCCTTGCTGGAGTCCTGGCTGCTGTGCTTCCAATCCGGATGCCCGCTAACGCACTTGGGAAAGCAGAGGAAGATGGTCCGAGTACTCGGATCCATGCCTCCCACAGGGAAGACCAGGATGGAGCTCCTGGCTATAGCATTAAACCTGGCCCAGGCCCAGCCACTTGTGGCCATACAGGGAGTGAGCCAGCAGATGAAAGATCTCTTTTCCTCTGGCTCTGTCTCTGTCACTGTGCCCTTCAAATAAGCAAATACTTTAAAAAATAAAAATAAAAAATAAAAACTTGCTGTTTGGAAGGGTTGGGGAGGAAGAATGGAACAAAAGGCATAAAAATGGTCACATCAATCTGCATGACACAGCAGTAGCAGACAAAGCATCACACCCAGAGCCCAGGGAAAAGCATGGGCCCTCATGTGAATAACGGACTCCATCAGGTACCAACACTGGTTCACTCACTGCAACATTTATGCCACGCTGATGCCAGATGTTAATAATCCTGTGGGACCACAGGAACTCTCCCTACTCACTGCTCTTTTCCGCCAACCTAAAACCACTCTAAAAAAAAAGTCAGTTATTGAAAAATGGAACCAGCTTCTTTCCCAAAGGTGGTCACTAGACAATCTGCACTTGCCATGCCCTGTTTAAAGGGAGAAAATGTAGTGGCAGGCCAGAGCTGAGAGGTACGGTAACCATAAACGTCAACTAAAGACTTCTTCCAGGGCCAGTGCTGTGGCATAGTGGGTAAAACTGCTGCCTGCAGTGCCGGCATCCCATATGGGTGCCAGTTCGAGTCCTGGCTGCGTCTCTTCTGATCCAGCTCTCTGCTGTGGCCTGGGAAAGCAGTGGAAGATGGTCCAAGTCCTTGGGCCCCTGCACCTGCATGGGAGACATAGGAGAAGCTCCTGGCTCCTGACTTCAGAACAGCACAGCTCCGGCCATTGCAGCCAACTGGGGAATGAACCAGTGGATGGAAGACCTCTCTCTCTCTCTCTCTCTTTGTCTGTCCTCTCTCTGTGTGTAACTATGACTTTCAAGTAAATAAATAAATCTTAAAAAAATAAAAATAAACTCCATCCCCTACCACCACCAAAAAGAAAAGGATCAAGAGGTACACTTCATCAGTATATTTCAACCAGGTGTTTTATTGGTCTGGCAACTGCAAAATATACAAATTTCTGAAAGGCATTCCCTGTTTGAAAGTGAGCACAGCTTCCTCCCAGGTTATTAATTCAGTCAAATATACAGAGAACAGAGAAGTCATCAGTCACACATAAAAGGCCCCCAAACCCAATGAACAACTAAACCCAATCTATACAGCTTTCTATGTTTAGGCTCCCTTATACATATTAAATAAATAAATAGCACATCTGCTATCAAAATAATAAAAAAATAAATTTCAAGTATTATAAACGAAAGATAATCATTGGTGTGGTTCAAACAGTTTTTCTTCTCCCCAAAAATGAAGAGGTTTTTTTTTTTTTTTTTTCTTTTTTGCCCATGGTCTCAGGACAGAATACAGAGGGGGAAACCCACCCAAAAACAAATATGCAAAGTTAAGAAAATTGGTCCCAGGAGATTTTTTTGGGGGGGGTTGTGGGCGGGTAGAGTGAAGATTCAGTAGAAGCAGAGGTCCTACAGCTGCAGCTCACGCTCACCCTCTGTCCACAGTCTCCTCCAAAGTCAGGTCACTGGCTTTCAAATTCAGCAGCATTCTACTTCCTCCAAGATGCCTCCAGCCTGTCCTTTATGTCTCTCTCTCTCCCCACCTAGGCCCTTGGCACACCAAAGCCCCATGTTAGGCCAAGCATTCTTCATCTATGTCTTGATTTCAGGGAAATCAGGTGAGATGGGAATTGTACCTGCACCACGCCCCAACAGCTCCGACAGCTACAGGCTGAGACCAGCAAGTGGCATTCTCAATAGCAAATGGGCAGGCCCCTCCCTCCTGTCTCAGAGATGACTGGCCTGCACACATGCACACACGTGTGCATGTGCACACAACCCTACCGTCTGATGAGACCCAAGATGCTGGGAGAGAGGGAAAACAGCCCAAGTGTTAGGTCATCCAGCAAAGAGATTCTCAGGCAGACGGCCAGTTAAAGAAGGTGGGATGGGCAGGGGGGACTTGGACCAGTTGGTTTGAAAAACCCAGCACTTCATCACATGGGATCTGAAGCCATGTTCTCCCCCATTTCCCACTTAATCTCAACCAGGCAAATGTGCATGCTTGAAACACTCCTCTCAAAACAAACAAGCAAACAAATAAAAAGAGCTCCACTTCCAGCTGCAGGGTGTCTCATTTCCCCAGATCTCACCCCAGGGATCTGTCTGTCCCCTTGTACAAGGAGAAGCAGGAGGAGCTCAAAGCTCAGTAGCAGAAGGCAGGAAAGAAAAAGTAACCTTTGCCACTTGGAAGCTCTGAGACATCCTTAAAAGGGGTCATTTGGACAAGCTGTACTGCTGAGTTCCCAAAGTGTCACTTCTGGGCACAAGACACCCCTTCCTGCCCCAGCACGTGAGGCAAAACCCACAGGCAGAAACTACAGGTATTCAGAACCACATGTCCCGTGCACCGGCTTTCAACCCTGGCAGAAATCTTCCAGATGCCATGAAGACAAGGCAAGGACAACATTCTACTCTTTTGAGTTCTCCAATGTCCCGGCACAGCCCCAGGCACACGGCGGATGCTCAACAAACACGTGCAGAAGACAGTCCCCTGGCATGAGGCCTGGCTGGGACAGGCGGGCGGTGACACAAGCCCCCAAAGAAGGGAAATCCCGCAGGAGCTTCTCTGTGTCGTCTCACAGCGATTCCAGTGCTCTGAGTGCCCCCATCTCATGGGCAGGCCCAAATCCCCACATTCAGAGGCTCCAAGTCCCCAAGGGCCTCTGACACCCAAACATCCATGTTTCTGAAGAGAAGGTGCTACTTGTGGGTCAGACTTCTGAGACCAACAGCAAAGTGCAAAAGCAAGCAGCTCTAGGAGACTGAGCCTCCTGGTACTTCCGAGTCCAGAGAAGAGAGTAGAGGGCACTCAGGGTTCCCAGGAGAGGGAGGCCCTGGGGAGCAGATCTCAGCTTTCACCTCTGCATCCAGAGAGTCCATCCTCCAAGTGAGGCCCGGGGAAGGCCTGTGGCTGTGCAGGAGAGCCAGGCTGTGTCACCACTCAGCAGACCGGCGAGTCCTAAGCCCGAGGAATTCTACAGAGAAGAGACCCCGCTCCTCACAACCCAGCACGTGCCCTAGTCCATTCTTCCACCAGGCACTTGCCCAGGCTGAGATGTACAGAAGAGCCACGTGCAAGTCTCTAAGTGTCCCTTGACCTTCAGCAAGGAAGACGTGGCCCTCCTGTGGCTGCAGGATCCTCTGCTAGTCTGTGTCCCCAGCCATGAACACGACAAGGCAAGACCACTGCAATGAAACAGGACAGGGCCTTCCCTCACCTCTTCCATGCTCACCATCCTCGCCAAGCTTCAAGGGGGTCCTCTGAGGTCAGAGACCACAAAAACCCCAGGAGAACAGAGAGTGTAGCGGCCTGCAGCTCGACGTGGGAAACCATGAATCCACGTGGCTTTCTGGGGTCTTGGCTGCCCCAACTACAGGGGCATGGTGGCGTAGGTAGCTTCGCTTCAGCCATCAGACCCCTCCTCCCTCCACCCCACCCTGTTCCAGAGGAAGTCCATGGGATCAGTTTTTGGCCTCGGGTAGATGGAAGGACACAAGCTAAGCTGCAGGGATGGACACGGAATGGAACCGACGCGTCTGCTTCAGTGTTTCCTGGAGGGGTCGGTGCTGCTCCGGGAGCCTTTCATGTTCTGTTTCCAGGAGACAAGAGGGGCAGGGAAAGGAGTTATGAGGGGCTGCTGAGTGTGTGTTAAAGCAGAAGACTCAAAGCCACGCCACCGAGCCCTCCCGCCCCTGCTCCCTGCACTCCTAAGAGCACAACCCAAGAACAGTGTCACCAACCAAAGTCCCAGCACTTGACGGGAGGTAGCCCCAGAGTCACAGAGACAAGGACCAGGCACAGGGGCCAGGGGGACAGCACAGGGGAGGGGAGCCATGTGGCTGCAGCTCCTATGGGTGCAACCAAACTGCTCTGGGAGGTTGGGGAGCTACAAAGCACCGGGCGCCAGTGTCCACTGGAGCTGGGCTGCTGGCTGCCCTCACAGGGGACCCTCACTGGCTGCAGCGGTGGAGCGAGGCCTCCAGGGAAGCTCAGGCTCACCTCCCGACTCCACTAAGGCAGAGCTGGCCACCCACCCAGTGCTCCGCCTCCAGATTCTGGGAACACAGCTTGACAATAACACAGGTGATGAGTGGGATGGCTGGATGCGGCAGCAAGGCCCAGGCCGGGAGCCAGGCAGAGGAGGCTGTGTCGCTGCAGCCCCATCTCTGTCCTGATCAAAGTGACCCTAGCAGAAAGCCCCGTCCCACAGCCCCGGCCACACACAGCTGCTGCCACTGCACAGCAGGGGGCCTCTTTCCTTACCCTCCTGAACCTACTCCTCGGGAAAACAAACACCCGAGGCTTGCAAGTATTCTCTCTGATTCTGAAGGTCCCCACCAAGACTTCTGAAAGGAGCAAGTGCAGAGCATGGAGTCCCTCGAGGCCCACTGCCACCCCCATGCTGGAACCCAGGGTCCAGGGCTACAGACATCACTAGAGAGATTTGCAGGGCTATGCAGCAACAGATCCAGTGCCCAGATCTGGGCAGCACTCAGGAATCCTGTGGCTGGGACCCTCTGCAGGAGGCTGGGCCTCCCGGGCATGACCTAGACTCCTGTCTAGGGAGAGAGCCCCAGCTAAGCTGCGGGAATGGAGAGCAAGGGGCTGCTGCTTCCCTCTCACCATGGCTACTGGCTCCAACCTGCCCTCTGAGACCACAAGCCCATGGCTTCGAGCACCCACACAGGATGGAGATGCAATAGTGACACTGGCAGACTACAAGGCAGGTTATGTCCACAGCATTCACTCATGGGCCCCAGGGTCAGGGCACAAGGGATGGGGATGAAAGACACATTGGAAAGGACCTCAGAACAATGGCACTGCTTGTAAGACCCTGGGGCACTGACACACACACAAAGGCACATACTCCACAATGGCCAGTCTGCACACAGACCAAGAGGCCCTAGGTCTGAGATGCATGACTCTGAGAGATGCAAAGGGGACAGAGCAACATGCACCCGGTCATTTACCTGTCCAAGGTTAGTAAGGAGAAAACTTTGAGAAAATGTGACAGACAGTTCGTCTTTCACGCACAGTGGGGAAGAGGAAGAAACGGGTTGGAAAAGGGGGGAAAAAAAAACATCTTTAGCAGCAGTTTCTTTTTCATGTTCATTTGTAAAACTGATGGATGTACAGGGCCAGCTTAGTGGCACAGCCAGTAAAGCCACTGCCTGCAATGCCGCCATCCCATGTGGGCGCCAGTTTTGTGTCCCGGCTGCACAATTTCCAATCCAACTCCCTGCTAAGGCATCTGGGAAAGCAGCAGCAGATGGCCCAAGTGCTTAGGCCCCTGCCACCCACATATGGGAAACCCAGATGAAGCTCATGGCTCCAGGCTTCCGCCTGGCCAAGCCCTGGCCATTGCAGCAATTTGGGAGAGTGAACCAGTGGATGAAAGATCTCTCCCTGTGTCTCTTCCTAACTCTGCCTTTCAAATAAATAAATAAATCTTAAAAAAAAAAAAAAAAGAAGAAGAAGAAGAAGAAGAAAAAGGACGTACTGTGGATGCCAGGTGGCCTCTCGATCCCAAACAGCTAACCCGGGCCCCAGGAAAGCCCTGCAGTGCACAGGACCTGGGTTGTCATTCCTGGTTTGTGGTCAAAGGCATCAGACCCCAAGGCCTAACCCCTCTCCTGAGTCTGAGTGCTCCAGAGAGCCCTGGCAGTGCCCACCGAGGCCCTCCCTGCTGGTTAACAGCTGCCATCCTTCAGGCATGTACTAGGTGCCAAGTGCTGTATCTACATTCTTGTGCTCAAAGTCCCCAAGGAAGCTCTCTCAGCTTACAGGGGAGTTTGCTAGTTGAGGTAGGTCCTAGAATCGCTTTAACTTGCCCAGAGTTCCAAAGACAGTGGCCAGGAGCACCAGCAAGGTACAAATCCAGCCAGCCTCAACTTGAATCATAGATTTTGGTCCCACGGAATCCCCATTAATAAAGACGCAGACTCCCCAGCTGGGCTGGCACCCACACCACACTCAATGTGCTTTTGCTGAACTGGACAGAGTCTAGCCAAGGACATTATGACACTGGTCTTAGAGACGGGCAAGTTCAACTTCAGCATGTCCCTTCCATGTAGGAGTCTCCTGGCAGTCTCGGGCAATGGGTCAGAAGAAAGGGGCTATGCCCACATGCCACACCATCAAGGGTCCAAACCCAAGGGCCGGTTTCCAGACAAAGAGAACCCTGATCCTGGTGTAGGCTAGGCACTGGAAAGCCAGCTCCAAAGACACTGAGCTGTGGGAGTGGCTTTGTCTTTGAAGACTAAGTTAACCAACAGGCTCACTGCTGGGTAAACAAAACTTAACCACAGGAAGCAGCTGAAAAGCAAGGCTGCAGGAGGTAAACCTGAGCAAACAGCTGCCAGCCATGCCCCCACGCATTGTGAGGATCAGGAGTTTTGGGGGAGGAGCAGGGAGGGCAGTATCATGGCTGCTCACAGAAGCCAGCAGAAAAGATGAAGCCAACCCTTAGAAACAGAGACCCATTCAAGGGCTGGTGCTGCTGCCGCCTGCCAGGCAGATGGCCACAGGTGCGTCACTAACCTCAGCCTCACCTGCCCCCCTCCCGGGGTTATTCCAGGACCAGGGATATGCCATCATGCTTCTCCTGAGCTCCAAAGCCCTACACAGTACAACCTTCTCTACGACGCCAAACCACTCCCGCTTTCCAAAACTGAGCAGTGCTCTGCAGCTCAACTTCTCAAACCCTTGAGTCCCTGCACAGATGCTCACGAGCACAGAACGAGCAGCAGGGGAGATGTGACTGGAGGAGGAGGGAGGGTAGCATTTTATGGTGGCTGCTATGAAAATTCTACCGTGTGAAGGCCTTGGCTCCTTCTCTGGCTGGGGATCGTGACAGCCACAGGGATGCCAAGTTATCTACTTAGCAGCTGCCAGGCTGATGCTGAACCAGAAATCTGCTGCAGAGGACTCAGGCAGAAGAGTCTGATGGGGCGGCTGCACCAATCCTGAGCACGATGCTTACGGCTGGGCAGGCGTCACTGCAAAACCACCTAGGAATGGCTTCCACACAGGACTCTCCAGAGCCTGGGGGGTCCAGCCCCACCACCTGCCCACCAGGGGACAGCCTCATAGATTCCTTCTGCAGATTAGGCTCTGGGTCCATTTTCCCTCCAAACACTAAAGGATGCCCCTTGGGGAGGCCAATGGTAGCAGGCCCAGATTCAGCTCACCACCAAAACCTGACTCTAGGAGGGAAAATGTGGGTTTATGCCAAACCCCAGACCAGGGCCAGGGCCACTACAAACAAGCACCTAGGGCCCAGAGAGGGACTGCGGAGAAGCAGCCTATGGCCACAGCAATATCAAGCCACACTGATGGCCACTTGGGACAGAGCAGCCTCTTGCACCCTTTTCTTAAAAAAAAAAAAAAAAAATCAATTCCCAGCTCCTCCCTCAACACACCCATCTTCTCCTTCTCCCACGGAAGACCTCGGACTTCAGAAAAACTGTCCTTATCTTCACTATTTTAACAGGCAAGAGGCCCAACTGGCAAGCAGGAAGAGAGAGGTGCAAGCAGTAGAATTATGCAGAGAGAAATACTTACAGACAGGCTTTCCCTAGCAAAGGCTGCAGGGAGAAAAAGTGGAGAGAGAGGTCAGTCAGAAGGTAGGACCTCATGGGGTAGGGCAAAGCCCTGGCAAACCCTGCCTTCCCCCCCACAACACACACACACACACACACACACACACACACACTTGGATCAGCCAATGGTTCCCAGAAGTCCCCGGGGACCTGGCAACTCTGCAGGAGCACCTGCCTTGGTATCTTGCTTGACCGACGTCAGGGCAGCCCCAGATGTTAACCACACCCCCGCCCAGCACCCAAGCACCCTCAACAGCTGCCTCTTAACTTAAATACAACCCTTAAAAAGTCCTCAGATCTAAAACCTGATGAGTCTTTTCAGGTGAAGTACCTGGCGATTAAAATCCTACACTCATGCTGATTAGCAGAGTTGCAACCCAAGCCAGGTCTCCAGGATATACCTGCTGCCATCTCACCTAGTCCAGTCCTTACCAGGTTAGATGTGTGGCCCAAATCACCTTATCTGATTTGCCTTTTGTAGTAGGTATTATTCTCCCATTCTACGGATAAGAAAACTGAGGCCTGCAGAGATAAAATGCCCTCAGGGGCCACAGCGCCTACCCTAAGACACGTTCCAGACATTCCAGGGTTTAAGGAAAACCAAAGATAAGCCAGGAAGAGTTAGTGAGCTGAAGCCTCCCATACTGATCTCAGAAACAAACCCCATGTGAAACTCAGCCTCTGGAGTAGGGAGTGGAGATGGGAGAGACCTGTGGCTGACACCTACATATTTGAGCCCAGAGATGTCTACATCTTGCACATTTGCAAAGATTCTTGACTGTCTCTGAAGAAAAGACTGATTTTTTAGAAAACCCATCTTAATACTCAAAAGTGACAACCTTCCCACCTCTAACAGCCACAGCCAATGAAATGAAGTGAAATCTGGTTGCGTTCAGCTTTGATTTTTACCCCCTGCTAAGACAACTATGTTAGGTGACAAAGTGGCTCTCTCCTGTGTATCCGGCCTCAGGGCCGTGCTGGCACCAGGGCCCAGGGCCCAGCCGTGCTGCAGCAAAGGGACAAGAGTGAGGGACAGAAAAGATGTGCGGGCCCAGAGCTGGAGGGAGAGAGATTGGGGGCTTGGTGGAGATGGCTCTAGAAATGGTGGTTCATGAATGCCAAGGGACTCAGACACTTGACTCTTCCTTCTGTTCTGCCCGGTGCTGCCCGGTAAAGTCCACACACTCAGGAAGGAGGCGAATGTGGTCATCACAAAGGAAGAAGCCCTCCCCCCTTCCCCCGCAGAGTCTCAACTTCCAGGAGGGCTTCTTGTCACGCACACATGCACATACACACACGTGCGTGTGCACACACACACACACACACATGCCCGCGCACAGTCCCAGGTCTGAGGCCACTGCCACCCCCCCCCCAGGGAAGAGGGAAGTAAGTCACTGACTTGTCCGGGTAGCTGCGTGGGCACCTCCGGGGGCAGGCAGCTGGGCAGGGCAGCAGAAGTGGAAGCCACATGCTCCTCAAAGCTGTTGATGCGAGGCTTTTTGGTGGGCTCGGGGCTGGCTAGTGGGGTGACACTATTGCGTCTCATGAGCGGGTTAGGTCCCTTCTTTGCATCCTAAGCAAGACAAAGACAAAAGAGAGAAGGCGATAGTTACAAGGAAGGGGAAGGTAAATAAGCCACACACACACACACACACACACACACCAAAAAAAAGGTCCCCCTGCTCCTGGATTTTAGGGATACAACAAGATTGACCCAGGAAGGGAATGGCCCTGGGACCAGGTGGGGGGCAGGGGTGGGGGTGGGGACTCCCTCCATACTCCTTCTGTTTCCTGGGTTGTTCCAAAAGACACCCACATAGATAAACACCACCACGATGTCTGCCTGCCAAGCAGGGAAGGAAATACAATCGCCACAGGGAACGAGATCGGACAGAAGAGCCCTGCTCCCAGCCCCCGGGACAGAGAGCCCGCGACAGGACAGGTAGGGAAAGGTGTCAGCGCTGTTTCCTTTCTGCCGACCACCAAGCCTGGACCTGCAGTGCACGCACAAAGAGTTCTCACACAAACTACCACCCTGGCTGAGGACGGGACACAGAGGCCAAACAGGCAGAACACCTGCGGGAGGCCCAGCCTGCCAGCCAGGACCAGACCACAGCTCTCCAATCCCAGGGACAACATGATGGGAGGGGGTCCCAGGAGTTCCCGGGCACAGGAACCTCAGAGCAAGTCTGCTGTCTGCAGCAACCTGGGTGGCCACGTACAAGTCTCTGAATGCCAAAGTCTGCAGGCCGAGCTCCTTAGAAAGGCGGAAGTCACCTGTTCCACCCATCTGGGGAACTCTGCAGAGAGAAAGCCCTGCGTGGTGACAGAGGATGGTCTGCAGAGTCCTGGCCAGGCACTGGGGGAAGTAAATTCAAACTTGGGCACAGAATCTATCTGCTCAGTCAATGTGACAAAGCACCCAAATTTCAGACCTGCTCGAGGTGGAAAATAGCTCTGAGTGGGCACTGGGTCTCTTGCTGGCCATCGCTCAGGGTGCTCATCCCCTGCCCCACTTCCATGCCCCCCACATGTCCACTTCTTGGAAATTCTGCACCTGAACCCGTGCAGTTGGCCAAGGCCAATGGCTGGTCCAGTTTGAACCAGTGTCTCTTGACCTCAAAAGCACAGTTTTACCTGACCGAAAGGAAAAGGGAATAGTAACTGCTACCCTTATGTTTAAAGGAAGACTGCGTCTTCCTCTCTACCATTTGTTTCATGGATTATGGAGAAATGGGGAAGAGATCATGGAGAGAAAGGAGAGGAAGAAGATCTGGAGGAGCTATAAAAGGAAGCCAGGGCAACAACACAGGGGTGCTACAGGAGGCAGCCGGCCAGGCCAACTACAGATAAGCAACTCCAGGGAGATACCACCGGAAGGCGGGGGCCAGGCAGCACGGGCAGTCCCACTACTCCACAAGAGCCCCCTGAGTGACGAAGGCCAGCAGGGGATCTCCAGGGGTCTCCACTCACCTCCGACCTTTCCCGGTGTGTGCTCACCGACTCCACATTCAAGTAGATGGATTCCACACGGCAACCTTCAGGAGAAAGAACCAATGAGAAGCCAGCTTCCGAGAAGGGGGGTGATCCTGCCTGCAGTGCCACAGCCACCAGAAGCCACCACCCTGGGGGCCAGGGCCCACTCACCATAAGCGACAGGTGTCAGTTTCAGAACGGTGTGAAGGGGGCATTTCAGGTAAGGCATCTCCTCTGAAAAAGAGAGATAACGGTCCCACAGTTAGATAGGAGACTCAGGCAGGTGGAGACACGAAGAACAGCCACTGCTTTTGCTGCACGAGGAACCTCAGAAACCAGGCCTGGGGGGAGGGTGTCTCCTCAAATCAATTATACGGGCCGGTCCTGTACAAGGCAGGAGGCCCTGGAAAGTGACACCTTCCCAAAAGAACACAACCAAAGCAAAGCAATAGACCCATCTTCACACAACGTGTCAGGGCGTTTAGCTTTTTAAAGATATTCCCCAAACAATTTGTGTTTGTCTAGGGATTCAGCCGAACCCTGGACAGACACAAGATTTTTTGATTTTTTTTTTTTTAATTTATTTGAAAGGCAGAGCAACAGAGAGAGAGCTTCAATCTGTTGGCTTACTCCTCAAACCTCACAACAGCCAGGTCTTGACCAGGCCAAGAGCTCCATCCAGGTCTCCCCACATGAGTGTCAAGGACGCAAGTACTTGAGCCATCCCTGCTGGCTCCCAGGGCGTGTGTTAGCAGGAAGCTGGAGTGGAGGCAGAGGCAGGACTCAAACCAGGCACTCTGATTTGGGATGTGGGCACCCCAAGTGACAGCTTAACCCCCTGCACCACAACACCCACACCAGGACTTAAGTTCCTAGTGGTATTGTGAGCGTTTTCTAGGCTGTTTGTTACTCAGAGGTGAACTGAAAAGAAGCGCTGCCTCCCAGCCTGACACCCAACCCAAAGACCCTTAGATGTGTGGGGACCAAGGGGCTTTCAGCAGGCTGTTTGCAGAAGCAGTGAAGCCCAGTGGGCATCAAATTGCCCCCAACAGCCTTTCCTAAGGGCTGGCTTGGAGGCACTGGGCTCTGAGGACCCTGCAGCAGGTGTCCTGCCTCCCCTCTCATTCAGCAGAGTGGCAGATGCATGTGAGAACAACGGGTCTGTGGTCACACGCACTCAAGAGAGTCTCCTTTCTCCTTCCTCCCTCCTTCCCGAGGCCACAACCTGTCCAATGCTACCTGCACTCTTGTCCAGGAAGTACGCCAGCAAGCAGCGCAGGACAGCCTGGTGGCAAATGACCAGCACGTTCTCCTGCCGCTCCAGCTCCATGATCACCGGCTCCAGGCGCTGGACCAGGTCCTGGTAGGACTGAAGGCAGAGGGACAGGACATGGTGTTAGAGCCAAGAGCCTTGACCATGTGCCATGGTCTTCTGTCATTATTAGCCAGAGAGCTTGTCACTCCTCCATCCCTCCATCCATTCTCCCACCTATCTATCATCCATCTATATCCATCTACCATCCATCTACCCACCCACCCATCCAACTATCCATCTGCCCATCTACCCACCCACCCATCCAACTATCCAATCGCCCATCTACCCTTCCATCTATCCATCCACCTATCTATCCAGCCAGCCAGCCATCCACTCACTCACCCACCCACCCACCCATTCACCCATCTACTCACTCACCCACTCATGCCCCTACCCATCCATCCATCCCTCCATATACTCATACACTCACTCTCCCACCCATCCACCCCTTCTTTCCCTGGTATTTAACCTTTCATTTGGCAAAGTGGTTCTTGTAAGGTACATAAACCTGCTGTCCTCTGTCTCAGTTCCTTCTTCTTCCTACTCCTCTCTCTACGCATTGAGGGACAGCAGTGGCTAAGATGGGGCAGGTGTTACAATGGATTTTTTTTTTTAGAAAGACTGATTTATTTATTTGAAAGGCAGAATGACAAAGAGATAGAGATAGAGATAGAGATAGAGATAGAGATAGAGATAGAGATAGAGAGACTATCTTCCATTTGCTGGTTCACCCCCCAAACAGCCACAAGAGCCAGGTCTGCATGAGGCTGAAGCCAGGAACTCCTGCCTTGTCTCTCACATGAAGGGCAGGGGCCCAAGTACTTGAGTCCTTGCAACTCACTTGGGAGACCTGAATGGAGTTCCTGACTCCTGGCTTTGACCTGGCCCAGCCCTGGCTGTTGTGTATATTTGAGGAGAGAAATAGCAGGTGAAAGATATCTCTCTCTCTCTCTCTCTCTCTCTCTTTCTGCCTCTCCATCTGCATTTCAAATAAATATGGGGCAGGTGCTGTGGCACAATGGGTGAAGCACCACTTGCAACACCAGCATCCCATATGGGCATCAGTTTGAGTCCCAGCTGCCCTACTTCTGATCCAGCTCCCTACTTATGCTTGGGCCCCTGTACCCACTAGGGAGACCAGGATGGATTTCCAGGCTCCTGGCTTCAACCTGGCCCAGCCCTAGCCACTGCAACCATTTATGGAGTGAACCAGCAGATGGAAGATCTTTTGATCTCTCTGTCTCCTCCTCTCTCTTTAAGTCTGCCCTTCAAGTAAATGAATAAATCTTTTTAAAAATATGAAAACAAATAAACAGCCTTTTAAAAAAATTTTTAAATTTAAAATGGGCCATCAAGGCTCCTACCCACTCTGCCCCCTCCTTTTTTCTCCCCCAAGCCAGAGTTCCAGTGACAAGGGCCAGTATGAGACGAGAGGATATTAGGCTGGCCCATGGGGGACAAGGGGGTGACAAATGCTCAGAAGGCCACAGGCAGGAGTCAATACATCAGCCTGCCCAGAGCAGTGCCTCTGCACAAGCCATCCCTGTCTGTGTGCAGCAGCTACTTGCTGGGCCACAGGGAGTGAGAGGCTGCATGTGGGGCCATGCCTCTACCAATATCAACCAGGCCATCAGCAAACATTAATTGGAGACCCTCGCCTGTCTTCCTTCTGTAGCCCAGTGAAAAACCCTGATCATCACCCACCATCGTTTTCCTTTCTCTTATCACTGAATTTGTTGCTAGAGAAACACAACTCCCACTTCTGCCCTTGGGAAGACAGAACCGCACTTCTCCTGGGCCTATGCAAGACTCAAGTCCAAGGGCAAGGCGGCAGGGACAAGACTGCAGAATAGATGGGGTGTTGGCAGGGATGGAGAGTCCTCTCTGGACAGCTGTTGATCACAAGGTCCTCTGGGGTCCCCACCGCCCTCTCTTGGCCAACACCACACACAGCACCTACCCCCTACCCCGGCCATCATCTGCAGAATGAACAGGACAGTAGAGAAAGAACAAGCACACAGGACGGGAGGTGACCCCAACACTCACCTCGCCCGTCGGGTAGCGGTAATAGTACTTGTCCTGCTCACGCAGAGCGTACTCCTCAGGGTAGGTGTCCTTGATCTCCTCGTAGGTCAGCTCCTCACACACGCCCTGGGCAGAACACCGAGTCGTCACCAGAGGCAGTGCATCCAAGAAGGCCACTATGTGCGGGGGCCCCCAAGATGCCAGAGTAGGAGTCCGCTGGATTCCCATGAGAGCTCCCCACCCTGCACCATACCCTCTGCTTGGGACTCACAGCATCGATCTCATTGAGCGCCTTCCACTGTTCGTAAGGGAGCTTCAGGGCCTCTGCCGTCTGGATGGTGCTCTTCAGCTGGCTGGTCCACACCCGGAGGTCCTTCAGGTTCTGCTCCTCCACAAACTTACTCAGGGCATTGGCAAACTAAGAGGGTGTGAACGAGAGGGCACACTGACCGCCCAGAGCAGAGGCAGGGTTCTCTGGTGCTCTGTCCGCTGGGCAGCATAAGGGGCCCAAGAATAGTTGCACTCCCCCCGACCATGATGGATACCCCAGGACATTCAGCTCTGCCCACCCCCTCCCAGGTCATGCTCTCCTGCACACAGAAACACACACTCTGTGAGCACACGAAGGCAAATGGTGGCAAAAATGCATACCCCACACACCCAGGGGACCCCAGAACTGCCGCCTTCTGCTGCCCTTTGGTTCCTACCTTCTTGCCCCTGCTGGACAGGCCTGAGTCGCCCCCAATCTTGCCTTGGAGGTTGTACTCGTTCTCGCCGTGCCGACACAGGTAGATGGTGCGTGGCTGCACGTGGATGTTCATCAGGTAGTACACAATGCGGCTCTGGATGTGGTCCTGGACTCTGTTCACCAAGAACCTCCGGCCAACGTCGATCACCTTGATGAGTGACAAGTCCCTGCAGAGAAACACCATGGAAGACCACCCGTGAGACTCCCCCACCACCACTTCCCCACCCCCACCCAGCACAGCACACCCAGCCCTGGGGCCAGAAGGCACTTCTCCAGGACACACAGACGCTTTCTCCAAAGGTAGCTTTGCACAAGTGTGGCAACAACACCCACAGAGCATATCATCCCAACAGGCTGGGGCCTCCCTGAGGAGGGGGAGAGAAAAACAGGAGGGTGGAAATCTGAAGACAGTAGCAAAATAGGGCTCCAGTGCATGTTTACTCTCTGTTCTTCTACAGGATGCCAGAAATATGTGCACCAGGGGCTGGCATTGTGGCACAGTACATTAATCATATGACGCTGGTATCCTGCATCCGAGTGCTGCTTCAGGTCCAGGTGCTCCACTTCTGATCTAGCTCCCTGCTGATATGCCTGGGAAAGCAGCACAGGATGGACCCAGGTGCTTAGGCCATTGCCACTGTGGGAGACCGGGACAGAGTTCCTGGTTCCTGGCCTCAGCCTGGCCCAGCCCTGGCTCTTGTGGCCACTTGGGGAATGAACTAGTGGATAGAAGATCTCTCTCTTTCTGTCTCTTGCTCCCTCTCCGCCTCTGGTCACTCTGTCTTTCAAATCAATCTTTTTTAAAAATCTTTTAAAAAAAAATTTGCACTCCATGTGAATTTGTGATCAAAGATTTTTTTAAAAACATCTTTAAAGAGAGTTTATGGAAATCTCCAGAATGCTTTGTGGGAAGCTGAAGACAACCCTGAAAACCCTAATGCAGAGGATTCCGAGGAGGTCACAGCGTGGGAGGTACCTATCACATTTATCAGGGTCGAGGGGCTGATAGCTGGCTTCATAGCAACTGATTCGCTTCATGAAGTCGTCCATGGCCTCTGCTGAATTGCAATCTTTGTAATCCGGGCTGGAGATTTTAACTTCCTGCAATACCACAAAGAGGCAGCTGATGAGTCACACTGCAAGGCTTTCTGTTGTAGATTAAGCAGGATTTGGGGCTTTCAAAAGGGGAAAGCACAGAAAGGTTCAGAATGAAGATTATCCGACCCAGCATTTAAGAGAAAAAAGAAAGAAACTGGGGGGTGGGGGGTGTCAGCCTGATGATTACATGGGGAGGACCCGCAGCCCAGACCGAGAATTGCTGGTTGGAAGAGCAGAAACAGGGAGCCCACGAGGATGCCGTAATGAACCCCTCTGCACAGACCACCCCGAGTCGGGATCAGGCCAATAACCGGATGACCACCACACAGGCTGGCCCTCAGTTCAGCCGAATTCCACAGCAGCACCTGCAGGGCTCTGCACACCGAGCTGGTGACAGAAGGGGCACTCGGCTGCTCCTACAGATGCACCCAGCCCTGTATGATCCTTCTCCATCTGTCCCCACAAAGGCAGCACCCACCTGTGATCGGGCTGCAATGAACTGCTTCTCTAACTAGACCCCAGGCCCACTGCTTTGCAAGGGCTTTGATCCCAAGAGTAGGTGGAGCAGACACAAAAAAAGAAAAGTAGGCTCGGCTACCTCCTGTAACTGAACACTAGGCCTGGGAGACTAGTAGGTTTTAGGGAAACTCAAAGCTTGTTAATGCCAGTGCTCTTTTTCCCCTCAACGACTGCCCTGACTACAAAGCAGCCACTCTTCCAAGATCCAACCCAGAGGGAAGCTAGCAGGGCCGGGGTTGTAGCATGGCAGGTTAAGCTACTGACTTCAATGCCAGCATCCCATATGGGAGCACGAGGTTCAACTCCTGGTTGCTCTGCCTCTCATCCAGCTCCCTGCTAACATGCCTGGGAAAGCAGCAAATGATGGCCCAAGAGCTTCGGCCCCTGCCCTCGACATGGATAACTGAATGGACTTCCAGGCTCCTGGCTCCAGCCTGGCCCAACCCCAGCTGTTCTGGTCATTTGGGGAGTGAACCAGTAAATGGAAGATCTCTTTCTCTCTGTGTCTCTCCCTCTCTCTGTCACTCTGCCTTTCAAATAAATAAAATAAATCTTGAAAACAAAATGGAAGTGGAGGTGGGGGAAGAGGCTAGCCTTAAGCTCAGCAGGTCAAGCCACTGCCTATGACACTGGCCTCCGATCTGAGTGCCAGTTTGAGTCTTGGCTGTTCTGCTTCCAAACCAGCTCCCTGCTCATGTGTCTGGGAAGGCAGCAGAAGATGGCCCAAGTACTTGGGTCCTTGTTATCCATGTGGGGGACCCGGATGGAGTTCCTGGTTCCTGGATTCAGCTTGACCCAGCCACGCCATTGCAGCAGACAGAAGATCCCTTTCTGTCTCTCTCTCTCTCTCTCTCACTCTGCCTTTCAAATAAATATTTTTGAAAAAATCTAAAATGGGGAGCTAATGTTTTATAGGGACAGGGTTTCAGATCAGGAAGATGAAGACAGTCTAGGGGCCAGCACTAGTGGTAAAGCAGTAGGTAAAGCAGCATCCCATATGGGCACCGCTTTGAGTCTCTGCAGCTCCACTTCCAATCCAGCTCTCTGCTGTGGCCTGGGAAAGCAGTGCGAGATGGCCCAAGTCCTTGGGTCCCTGCACCTGCGTGGGAGACTGGAAGCTGCTCCTGGCTCCTGGCTTCGGATCAGCACAGCTCTGGCCATTGCGGCCAACTGGGGAGTGAACCAGCAGATGGAAGACCTCTCTCTCTCTGCCTCTCCTCTCCCTCTGTGTAACTCTTTAAAATAAATAAAATAAATCTTTTTTTTTTTTAAAGAAAAGTCTGGAGATGAGGAGTGGTGATGGCTTCCCCACAACATGAATGTAATGAAAGCTGCTGACGTTTACACTAAAAACGGTTCAGACGCAAAGGGCGTGCTGTGATATTTTACTACAGTTTCCTACATACAGCTTCCAAGTTCCTGGGCCTAACTTGCCAAGGTGCTCTGAGGTTTCTGGACACAGAGGGTGAGGGGTGAGGCTGTGTTAGTGGACTACACGATCAAGGATGAACTCCTGCCCAGGCACGCTGGTGACTGCTCCCTGGGGAGGAGGATCACACAGCCGCACTGTGCTCCAGCACCAAGTGGAACAAGCAGAGCCAGGGGAACTAGCACGACGCTTGGCTTAGATTATTGCAACTTGTGTTTCCTTGTACTTTGGATCCCTTCCGGTGGCCCCACGGGAACTCACTTGAACCTGTTTTCCACAATTCAGGTCGCTCTGCCTGAAATATGAACTACTTTCTCAGACAAGGCTTGCACACGACTGCACTGCCTTGGAGAAAAAGCCCAAGAAGCCAGTGTGTGCTCAGCATCTCCTTCAAGATGCACATCTACGTGCAGCAACAGCACGGCGTTCCCTGCTTATCGGGAAAACTTTTCTTTATAAATTTCTGAGCTGCTGAGGCTGGAGAGGGTGACCTGCAGTGAAGTCTTCACAGTGAGCATTTCTGTTCCTGACACACGGGTGTCAGCACCATCCACCCTCAGCACACCTAAGCACGCTCTCATCGGGGTAGTGGAGACAGAGACGGCTCCGCGGCACGAGCATTAGACGCATCCTCTAGGAAGACACTTTTCCCCACACCCCTTCCTCTCAGACGTGGGACCTCTGCCTTCAGGTTACTGAGCCCTATAGGCTGTTTATACAGACCGTTCTCACCTACCAGAGACCTTCCTAGCAAAAGCTACCAGCCCTGCGGCCTCCCAGCCCTTCTGGAGGAGTGAGCTGCTCCTTATCTCCAAGCTGCAGCTGTCTGCAGAAACTGATCCCCGTTCCTCTGCTGTGTCTCACGTCCCAGCCAATGCTGTGCACTGCCGGCTATCCTCAAAGACCCCACGTGGGGCCAGCTCAGGTCTTGGGACAGGCTGCTCCATTCAACCGCTCTCTGCCCTTCTCACCTCTCAGACAACAACAGAAGCTGGGAGGGGCAGCTCATCCTGAGGGGTCAGTGACTCTGAGGACCTGACCTGGGGCCCCCAACTTTTCTTGGATCGAAGATGTGCTTGTGGTTTAGGTGCAAACACAAAGAGCGGGGGTGGCTGGTTGTCTTACCATGATGTTGGAGGCCACAACTGAAGGGTCATCACACACGGACTCAATGAAAAACACCTGGTGGAAGTCAGCCAGACAGAAATGTTAGAGAACAACATCTATGGGCAGGCACTTGGCTTAGCAGTCAAGACACCAGCTGGGATACCCACAGCCCCTACTGCAGTGCCCAGGTTGCAGTCCCAGCTCTGCTTCCACTTCCAGCTTCCTGCTACTGCAGACCCTAGGAGACAGCAGGCGATGGCTCAATAGTTGGTCTCTGCCACCCCAGTGGGAGACCAAGACCAGGAGTTCCTGGCTTCTGGCTTGAGCCTAAGTCCTGGTTATTCTGGGCATTCAGGGAGTGAACCAAAGGATGGGAGATCTCTCTGCCTGTCTGTTGCCCTCTGCCTTTCAAATAAACACATTTTTTTAAAAAATAAAGTTGACAATAAAAGGAAAACATCACACCACAATGGGCCAACTTAGATATCACTGGTGTGGTGCTAGCATCACATACGAGGAGGAAAGAGGCCATTTATCAATTCCCAAAGACACAAAAAGATATGGACCCACTGCCCCATCCCGAGTGGGAGGTCTTCTCCACCCTCGAGAGCTCTGCCACGGGGAAGGCCCTGTTTTCAGACAGCGAAGCTCAGGCAGTGGCAGACGAAGGAACAAAACGGAATCAGGGAGTCATTTGGTCCCCGAGGTCCTCCCTCTCTTCTGAGCTCCCTGGAGCAAGACAAGGAGTCTGGCTCACCTTGAAGTCATTTTCTTTGGCAAAATGAAGGATCATGTGTCTCCTCTCTCTAGTAGTGTTGGTGGCATCAAAAACCTGAGAAGGAGGGAGAAAGGCAGGGAAGAAGAATCTGAGCTTGAGTTGAACAGTATTTACCAACACCACCAATCTGCCATTTCCAGGAACAAGTCCAGAAAGGCACTTCCAGGAGAGACGGTGCTCTGCCCATCTCCAGGGCTGTGCCTGTAGGCAGCCCTCCCTCTCCCACTGCCTCCAACACTCAGAGACAGCAGGGGAGGGGTGGAATGGCCGCTGGAAGCAACCAGTAACACCCAGCAGGAGGGAACACACAGAAGGGCCAATGGCTCTTGGGCACTGGTGGTATCCCAGATTCTGCCCTCCCTCAAGGTGGTGACCAGTTGCCCATAAGGCTGGTGTTGGGCATATGTGTGACAGCCCTCACTGTGGCTGTGTCTTTGAGTTCCTACCCAGTCCCCAGGCTCTTCTAGCCACCTGCTTCCCTCATCTCTCCGGGCCAGAGGCCCTGTCTGTCCCTGTCTGCAATGTCCCCACAGTGTCTCCCAGCACCGTGCAGGCCACTGAGAACATCTTCCTGCTATGGCGTTGCAGAGTGAGCCAGCTGTATGCCTCGGACTTACTGCAATTTGACCTCCTTCCTTTGTCAGGTAACTTTTGACATCTCTCAGGGCAGCTAAGGCACATTGCCTGCAATGCACAAGAAAGAGAAGCTGCAATCAGAGCCGGCCCATCCACCAGGGTAGCCCAAGGAAGCTCCCTCCCTGGCCCCAGCCAACAGTAACCAGCAATTCTGTTCCTAAACTGCTCAGTGCTAGCCAGGCCCTCCAATCAGGTCCAGCGCAGATGGCCTGGGCGCGCTGTCGGGCCTGGCTGCACACTGTAACCATCCCTCTGGAGGGCTGTTCAAAACAGATGTCCAGAGCCCACCCACAGATGCTCCCGGGTGGGGCCTGGCACCGAGACCTTGACAAGCTTCCCAGGTGGCTTCTAAAGTGCAGTCAGGGTTGAGCACATTGCACTGGGGCTCCCAATCACCTCCTGCTTCAAAAGAAATCCTTTCCAAACGTACCCAGATGATTCTAATGAAAAGGACTTTGTGTGCTCTCAAGGGCTGGGGCTGCTGCTGTTGATCTGTCTCTGTTAGCTTGGGCAGACCCTCTGGGAACAGATCAAAGCTGCAGAGTCTCGGACAGGCCGAGAGGCTTGTCCCAACACCTGACAGATCTGATGGCCACCAGCGGAGAGCCGCTCTGCAGGCCAGCCTTTCCCTTCCTCCTATGGAGCCCGACTAAGAGACAAAGCGAACCCAAACCCGCAGCCCACTGGGGTAGCTCGTCGTGGCTTACTTGCGGACTTTCATTGCTTCTTCATTGTCAGGGCGGAAGAAGTTGTAGGAGCTGTACTGCTTCACAGCCTCCCGGCGGTATTCTCCCACATTGAACACTGTGGATGGGAAAAGTCAAGGACAGCCCTGGGTGACCTAGCAGGAGGAAGGGGCCGACTTCCAGCTGGGAGCACAGTCCCAATCAAAGGGGGGAAAGAAAATGAACAAACACCAGCCTGAATAAGATGATGATCCAGTATGGAAACTAAGAGTGTGAGCGTCCCAGTCCAGCGTCACCACCTGCTCCCTAGAAGCAATGGGCTGGGAAGCAGCCCGGCTTCCTCCAGAAACACAGAGCCCACTGCTGCCTGCACGATACGTGAGGCTGCACCACAAGGCCCAGGGCTCCATAGGCTGTAGACTAGAGACTGGGATTGTAAGAACAGAGGTGGTCTCGCCAGAGCAAATATAGAGACCATGGTTTCTGCTAAGAGGCTCAGGCAGGCAGCCAGCAGGGGGACACATTAATAGCTCCCGGGATCTCTCAGCAGGTGGCAGCCAGAAACATGGAAAAAAAAAAAAAAAAACACACACACACACACACAGTCCCCATATTTAAGATACTTCCAGCTGGGAGGACCAGGCAGGTTCACCGACAGAGCACTGGAGGAGGGTTAGCAGAGGAGGTTTCAACCAAGTGCAAGGGCAATGATATGCAGGGACTGGGTGGCCAGAGAAGGCTTCAGGAAGGAGATGAAATCAGGCAGTGGCGGGTGGGGAACTCAGCAACCACGGTAGCCCTGAAGGTGAGGACCAGGAGCACGCAGGATCGTAGCCCACGGCTTGACTCCTCTAGTCTCAGGACCCGGCCTCACCTTTGGTTGGGACGCCAATCCAGTTGAGGTAGCGTGTCAGCTTCTTGGAGATGTACGTCTTCCCCCGGGCTGGGAGGCCCACCATGACAATCACTGTGGGGGAGTTGGTCAGCTTCGGCCCACAGGCTGGAAAGGACAACCAGGAGAGATAAGATCAAGTGTTCTACAGCACAATGGGGTGACTACAATTTATCATCATTTATTATCTACTTTATATAGATTTGAGACGAGTCAGGAGGCTCCAAACATTTCTAGCTAGGTTCCTAGAAATAAGGAGATGGAAATAATAATTACCCCGATTTACACATTGTATACATGCGCTGAGTTAGTACACTGTAGTCCATAAATACATACAACTATCATGTGTCAATTAGAAATAAATGGGGGGGGGCAGTTAGGATGCCTGTATCCCACAGCAGAGTACCCAAGTTCAATACCCTGTTCTGGCTCCCAATTCCAGCTCTTGCTAATGTGGACCCTGGAAATCGGCAATGATGGCTCAAGTCATTGGGTTCCTGCCACTCATTTCCAGCTCCCAGCTACTGCACCTGCTCTCAGGCCTCTGCAGGTTTTTGGACGTGAACCGCCCTATAGGAGCCTGTGCACATTCTCTCTCCCTCTTTCTCCAAATAAATAATAAACGTAGATGAGATCTAAGGAAATAACATTTTCACTAGGGGATCACCAGTCACATGGCAGAAATTATTGAGCACAGACCTCCCTCCAACAATAAACTTCAAAGAATTTCATCAGAATTCTTTCATTCCTCATCCCAAGCCCCCCCACCCCCCGCAACATTTTATAATCCAATGGGTCCTCGGCCCCCTAGTGGCCAGAGCCCCACAATGACCCCTTGCAGCTCAACCTCACTTTAGGCTACCCTTGGCAAGTGCAGTCTGGAAGCCAAATTCCTGACCCGACACAGAAAACCCTACACCCAGTAGGCAACCCACAGTAGAAATGCTCCTCTCCTGGGGGTGTAATGAAGGGACCCCAACACCAGGGAAGATGATGGCAACAGGAGAGCAGAGTAGGTTCCAATCGCAGTACACAAACCGAGGCAGCAGGTAGCAGAGGGCCGTGGGAGTTGGGCCCTGGACCTGCCAGGATTCAGAGGGAACCCAAGCACCAGCTTCCTAGCCTCCACACAGGAGGTCTCCACGGTCTTCCTCAAAGAGATTTTTATAAAGAAGGCGATTGGTTTTACCAGATCAAAGCAGGTCGGGGGATGCAGAACACTGGTTCTCTCCAGGGGACGGGTAAATCCCAGTATCCCTGAGAGTCTCAGCCCCTTCCCTGACCGCCACCTTCTGCTGCCAGGCTGATGGATGCCAGGGAGCCAGCCGTGCCAGGCACTAAGCCCCAGGCAGAGGTTGGCACCACCAGAGATGCTGTGGCCTCTGAGTACCCTCCTGGCGTCCACCACTCAACCACGATCCCATGTTCCTCAGAGGTTTCTGTAAGATACCACCAGGGACCGGGATCTCCCCCGGATTCTCAGAAAGCAGCCACAAGCAGCCTGTTCAGGAAACAGAAGGCCTGAGACTCTGGCGACTCCTGCATCCTAGTGACAAGCACGCTCGCAGGCCAAGGGCCATGTGCCAAGTCCAGCCCGGGCGGTGCTGCCCCACACTCTCGGGCTGTCACGGTCAGCCCAGCTGTGCTCATCATGTCCCAGGCACAGGCTGCACGGCTTGCAGGGGAAGCTTTGGAAGCCGTAACACCCGATCTAGGCCAATGTCAGATTTGGACAGAGGCTCTGACGCACGGATGAGCCTCCGCAGGCAAGCGCCAGGGTGCAGAGGAAGCAGAGCTGCTATCCCGTGCACAGCTGAGGGGAAGAGGCCCCTGTCTAAGGCTGGACCCCCAGCAGAGGTCCCCAACTGAGGTCCATTGCCAAACACCACCGTAATTCTATGCTTGCCTCCTAACCCTGCAGGCTCAGGGGGTTCCGGTTCCTTGCTAGTATCTGTGCACCATTTGTAACCTGGGTGACAAGGGGGAGGAAACAAGGCCATCAGGGGATCAGGAGATGCTCAGGGGGCTGCAGAAAGCCCTTGGCTGCCCTCCTCGGCTTCCAGCAGCCCTGCAACAAATGCGTTCCTAGAAAACAGCAGCTTGCCACGCCCGCAGGGGGGCAGCAGGGATCATCATCGCCTTAGTGAAGCAAACAAGCACCAAGGGCTCTCATGTCCCAGGGACAAGCAGACAGACAGCTGGCTCCTCCGAGCCACCTAGACACGCACAGAGACAGACCATCAGACACACATACAGCTGCACTCACACATGGGACCATGTCAAGGCAGCCGAGACAGAAGATAGAAGCCGCCTGATGTCCCAAATCCGAGATTACAATCCATCCACTAATCACAAGAACAAATCTTCTGCCAGTAACACTTCGGGAACAAAAAATAATAAAATAAAATAATACTAACAAATCCAAAAAGACACAACAGAGTGAATGCTATAAGGCAGAAGTTTGGGCTGAATTTCAAGCCCTGTTAAACCATCACTCCTTATTCCTTAGCTTCATGCCTAAGATTCAAAGACGTGGCAAGAGCCTGCCGAGGGTGGCTGCCACCGTCCCTCCTCCCAGGCACTCCCGGCTCTCAGGAGGCAACCACAGTCCTTCTGACTAAATCTTTTGAGTCTCATTCTCCCTCAACCCTCCCTGCCTTTTTTTTTTTTTTTTTTTAACTCACAGCACAACTCAATTCAATGGCCCTGTTGCTGCCTGAGGGGAGACCTTGGGTTTCTTCCTGCCTTCTTTCTTGATACTTCTGCCATCAAGAGATACAGCTGTGTACCACTCTCATCCTCCTTCCTGTCTTCCTCAAGAGTGCAGCGATCGTGGAATAAATACCGTAAACACCGTGTTTCACACAAGCTGTTCGGAGGAGTGCCTGCACACGTCATGCGACACAGCTGTCGAACTCCTTCTGACAAAACAAGTTTTTCAAGTGCAGCTATGCTGAGATGTCAGTGTTAGACGTCAATTTGAGGATGCCTAGGGGAGCACACAGATGTTCACTACGCTACAGGGGAAGGAAGCCATCATTTAAAAACCACTGGCTGGGTTAACAGAATGCACACCCTGATTTGCCATCAGGGTGGGGCAGGCTCAGGCTCAGGCTATAAGGCTGCTGCATGGTTAAGGCTCTGACCACTGGAAGCCACCAAGTACCAGGAGCGAACCCTCAACTTTAAGAAGTCATCATGTTCATTGACTTGGCCATTTGTCACACTTGCTGGGTGCCGGGTGAGCTGGGGGATGGCTGGATGAATCGGGGTCAGTGTCAGAGTACCTTGGAGCTAAGACTGGGCTGTTCACAAGCCACTCGTACCATTTTACTGCTACTGAACACAAACTGGCTACTTGTTCCAGTCCCCCTGCAGGTCATCAAACCAAACCAGGTTAGCTGGTGAGCACGTGAGCTGCAGGCAATGTTGACTGAGGTTGCCGATTAGGGAAAGAATCAGCCAGACGGACGAGTTACACCCCACCATCTGGACGGGGCTGGTCTGTGTCACAGCTGGGTTGGGAGGCTGGCACCCAGGGTTCCAACTCCAGCTCTCCTGCCTAGATTAAGTGACTGCCCTCTCTGATAAGGACATCTGCCCTCATCCACCCCACGGATGCCCTGAACTTATTCTCAGAAGACAGACAGTGGTTGGGAAGACCCTCGGCTCTGGCTCCTGTACCTCCTGTGAGCTTCCTTCTACTCAGAGGCTCCGTGTGATGCTAGCCTCAAAACACAAGATGCAAACTCACATCTTCTTTTCTACAAGTTGGTGAGCTGGGCTTCATTCACAGAAAGATGAGTCTCCAGAAGGGATCCATCCCCATAGCTGCCGAAGGGAACCAAGGCTGTGCTGGTCTACAGTAACCACCTCAAAGCACTACCACCAGATGAGGACAAAACTCTGCAGCCACATGAGCACCCTATGGGTTTAACATGCCGGAGACCAGAAGGCAGGCAACATGAGCACACAGAGAGATGTGGGACAACTGGTTGTGGGCAACCAGATATAAACCACTCTCCCAGCATCAGTGGTGTCCTCAAGTTGACCTAATATGAAGACTCGCATCTCAATGAGTTAGCCTCGATGGAGGATTTCCAACAGTGGGAAGAATGCATCCAATTGACACTTCTTTCCATATCTCTTCTGCACTATTTGATAGTTACCATGCACAGGCATTACTTTGCATGCATATTTTAACTAACATCAAACCAACCTCAGGCCTAATGAATGGCCTTTGTAGCCGCATAGTTCTAACCGGCAACACGCAGTGGTACAGGGGATATTTTAATGATCACTGACAGATTTAGGAGGCAATACAACAGCACAGTGTGATGCAGAGCAGGGAGAGGTCACACTGCAAAAGCAGCACGTGGTGGATCAGGACTCAGCTGAGGTCTTCCTCGCATGGAACCCTGCAAGCGCTCGCTCCTCAATGAGGGGCTCTCCACCAGCAGCCAAACCCAAGGCGCTTCTAAAATGTAAGATGCACATAGTGACCAGGCTTGAGGCTCCAGTAGGAGTTCTTTTTCACTATGCCCCTCGCCTAGCCCCTCCCAACTGACTCTAACGTGCAACCCAGGCTGAGAATCACCGGCTATGAACTTCAGGGGCAAGACAGGCATCTCCTAGGGCATCCGTGCATCTCCTTAAAGCAGAATACCATGCATGTGGCCCATTTCCAAGATGAGAATCTTTCTGTCTTTATCTGAGTACCACATGGACCTCTGATCCCACTATTCTAGATCCTGAGCAAAGATAAATTAGCAGCTTGTCTCATTACACTGTAGGTATGAAAAACCCTTGGTACCTTCAGGTGCTGTCTCTGCTCCCTGTTGAAGACAGCCCTGTAATGACCCGGATGAATATCCACTTTGCTGCGCTGATGATGGCAACGTTTTATTTAAGGCTTACTAAGTGCCAGGCACTGTCTCTCAGCCCCACCACGCTACATGGGACTCCTCACAGCCCCATTAGATAAACAGTAATGCAACCCACACGACAGACAAGGATGCTGAAGTTCTCAGTGCATAAGTAACTCACCCCAACAAGTGGGGACCCAAACACAGAGCCACATGATTTTTTTTGTGATGATAAAGGACAATCAGAACGAAGAGCCAGTCCCCCTGCCAATCAAGAGCTTAACTTCGCTTCAGGTAAGCTGATTCACAAATTCAGTTAGTCTCCCCTCCGTTCTGGTTTGTGTCTGACGGGAGGTGCAGGCTTTGCAGCTGGACAAGAAACTTAATCCATCGACTGTAGGCATAACTCTCCCCTCAACTCCCCCCTCCCCAGGTCTGAACATTTCCGACAGGGATTCTTAGGCAAATGTCTCATCTGAGTGTGCAACGTGCAGTCTGACGGAGTCTAATGGATGGGTTTTTCTCAAGCCTGGAGGAAGCATGCATGGCCGCACCCTGGCTTCTCTGAGAAATCACTAGGAGCTAAGGCGGTGCAAACAGCAACCTCGGGAGAGAAACAAGCCAGTGTGTGTAAGGGCACACATACCATCCCAAGTATTTACAGACATAAAAATCCAGTCCTTGCTTTGTGCCACCCACTGCGGTTTACCAAGCGCCCAACGGATAACACTTGTTTTATTCAAAACCGAAAGGGGGGGGGGTGTTCCCCCTCTGGCCTTGGCCACACCTCCCCCTGGAACCCTGGAGTGGGGTGCATCCCCCACCACCCACAGGTTACATAGGAAGACCCTGGGCAGCTCCGGTTTAGCGAGCACGTTTCGAAGGGCCAGATCCGCGGCAGACCTGCCAAGCCCCAGCCCTCGGCTTCTGTGCCAAGAAGGCTGAGAAGCAGAGGTCTCCTGCGCATTTGCCCTCAAACCTCCGGGTCCAGCAGGACCTCGGCCCAGGGCGCACCCCAGGGAGGCGCAGGGCTCGCTTCCCCTGCACCGGTCCTGGCATGGGGAGGGCGGTGATTCAGGCTGGCAGAAGCCCAGCGCGGGCTGTCACGTTCCGCGGTGGCGCTCCTAAAAAACGTGGCAGTGGAGACGCCCGGCCAGCACCTGGAGCTCAGGTGCCCTCAGATGACCGGAAGCCGTCTCCAGGGTTTGCACCTGGATTTGACAGTCCCCTCTCGGGCTACGGCCAGGCCTGGGCAAAATGCCCACCTGCTAACTGGCCCTCGGCCACACGATGGTACTCTGGGCACCTCCTGGCCAGTCCCACCGTCCTTTCCGGAGGCTGCAGGCGGCAGCTGGCGGTGGAGAACCAGGGAGGCCTCTCGAGAGCGCATCGGGGTGACAGGAGCGGCGGCGGGAGGCGCCCGCACATTCCGAGCCCCGGGGGACGCGTGCACGTGTGACCTCCCACCAACCCGCGGTCACCGCCGCGCGCCCGCCCCTCAACCAAGCGCCACGGAGACCCCAGGGATTGTGATGTCGCCCCCTAACCCCCGCCGCTTAGGGCGCCCGGCAGTCTCCGGAGCAGAGAGGGAAGAGATGGACATGGACAGGGAAAAGAGAAGTGAAAAGAGAGAATATCGAGAAATATACTCGCACAGGGGCGCACGGAGAAAGAGAGTTAAGGGGGAGAAATGCGAGCACGAAGAAAGAGCAGACAGGAGACATGTTTAGAAAGGGGGCAGATGGAAATCGGAGGGAGGCAGGAGACGGCGGACGCCGGAGACCCGAGAGAGGTGGAGGCGCAGACGGCCGCGCCCCTTGGCCGCAGTCGCGCCGCCGGTGCCCGGGGCGGGGCGCGCCGCTCTGGCCTCGCACGAAGGTCCACCAGTTACGGCGTAGTAGACGCTTGCAGGTCAGGAATCGGTAAGGTTCGACGGTTTCCGGGGGCCTAGCGACTCCGCCGCCGGAACCGGGAATACGCAACCAGCCATCCGCCCCCGCGCCTCGTCCGGGTCGGCACGAACGCGCCTCCCGCAGCGGGGCATCCGCACAAAGCGGCCCCACACAATGGCCCAGCCCTGCACGCGGCGGCGCAGACTTGCAATTCCTGCTCCCGCGCGATCGCACTCACATCTGGGCAACGAGGGCCGGTGGTCGATGGGCACCCAGATCTTCTGCACCCGGCTCTGCGTCAACTCCAAGGGCATCTTCGCAGCTGAGCCCGGCGGCCCACCACCCCCAGAAGGAGAATCCGACGTGGGGACGAGAGTGGCCGCCAACCCCCGGAACAAAGAAGAGGGGGATGCGTGCGCCGGCGTGCGGCCAGCCGCTCGCTGAGCTGCTGCTTGGGGAAACGTGCTTTGTGCTCAAGTCCCGGGCGCTGGCCCGCCACGAGTGCTCCGCTGATCGCGGCGAAGGGCGCGGGCTGCAGGCTGCTCGCACGGCCGGCGCGTCCCTGCCAGAAAGCCCCGGGATGCTCGGGCGCAGTGACAGCCACGCTCCCGCTCGCCTGCTCTCCAGCTCTGCCGGGACGCCCCACTCACTGCCCGGCCTTTTAAGAGTCGCGGCGCACGTCAGCCTCGGGGCGGGCCGCATTCTTCCCGTCCCAGCCCCTTTTCACGTGGGGAGGAGGCTGCGCTGGCCAGAGGGCGGCTTGTGGGTGCCCCCTGCGGGCGGGAGACGACAGCGCGCACCGCTTCTGCAACCCAGCCCCGGCGCTGGAGAACGCCCAACCCTGCCTGACCTCTCACTCCAGTTACCCCATCCTGAGGACAGCTTCCTCCATTAATTCTGACCCCTCATCTCTGCTGTGCTAGGGGAGAGCAGCGGCGCGGCGCCATCCTGTGTAGTCTGCGGACCCTCGCGGCCGAATCTCCTGGGATACTGGTTAACACGCATCCCACTGATGCGGCCTTTTTCTACCTGTGCGGTCTCAGTACTCCGCATTCCTACAGCGCGCTTCGGGGCAGCCAGAGCCGCTTCCTGATCGTACCTGCGAGTCATCACCCACTACGATCCGTGCCATCCAAGGGGCAGGGGGCTTCCCTGCCCCTTGGACCCCTGAATCCCTCAGACACCTGAGCTTGTGCTGGGCGGCCACTGCTCCCCCTTTACCTAATTCCAAAGACCGGGAACCTTGCGAGGCCTGCGGTGCTGGGCATGAGGACAGGTAGGAAAAGCCCAAACGGCGGGACTGGAAGGGAACTTTGCAGGGGCTCAGCTGGCATCTTCATTTCCATGTATAATATTCGATGAACGTTTCTCTGAGTGGAAGAGTAAATAAAACTAGACCCCCCCCCCATTTCCACCTGCAACTCATTACTGGACTATAAGCCCCCAGACCATGCAAACTCCTACTGAGGTTCAGACCTCTCTTCTGCACACCCTATAGCGTTCCCTCGCCACTTTGTCGGTGTGTACTACTACTCTCTCCCCTTTTCCTCGCCATCTGCGGGCCCGTCGTGGAGGCAGGTAGGAGGCCCTGAGGCGAAGACCTGGGGCTCTCTGGGCGAGGCCCGCCGCTCGCGCAGGGGCACGACAGGAGATGTGACTTCAGCAAACGGAGCCTCAGCGCCGAGGCACGGCTCTGCCCTGTCTTGCAGAGAGGCGCGCACTTCTCGCCGAGACCAAGCTCTGATTGGCGGGGAGAAGGCGGCGCCCGCTGAAACCACTCTGCAGTGGAAAAGTCTGCGCAGAGGCTGCCACACGTCGCTCACGTCCCGCATGCTCTCAGCTGGGAGGGCCCAGCTCCCTGGCGGCCGGCGCAGCTGCTCCCGCCCGGTGCGCCCGCCCTACCGGTGCCTCCGCCCCGCCCCCCTCGCAGTCTGGCCGCTCCAGGGGCCGCCGGTGCGCCAAGCATCACCCACCTGGCCGCCGGCCCCAGAGGCCTCCCTGTCCTAAACCCTACCCCCCCCCAACACCCCGCCCAACCGCGCCGCCCTGCCTGGAGCCCCTGCTCCCCCCACCGCCGACAGCTTTGCTGACACGGGCTGGTTTCGGCGCTCGGGCAGCTGTTCAGAAACCCGATGCATTGCATTTGGACTTGTTTTTCTGCAGCGGGAGCAAATGCCAGAGGTGACACCCTAGAACGCCCAAGGGAGAGCCCCATGCCACTCCTGAAATAAGAGTGGGCTGACCTGAAGAGGAAACAGCAACCAGGGAGCGCCCAAGCCACCGGGAAGAGTTCCTATCCCGGGAAACGCAGGGGTCTTGCAAGGAACTCCTGCCCCCCGCCCCAGCTTCTCGGCGATGACACCTGTGTGTCCTGCTATCTGCCCACCTGGGGTTCTGCACACACCTACTGGCTGGGCATGCCCACCGAGAGGCAGAATTCTTCCTCCACCTTTCCTCTGAACTTCCAGAGACATTGTTGGTTTCATCTTAAGGGAGGAAGCAGGGACCGGGTCTGCCCCATCTTAATTTCTTGTCCAAGGTCAGCTCTCAGGACACCAGGCAGCTGATGTTCCCAAGAGATCCTAGATGAGCTTTATTCGCACACCAGGCGCCTTCCCTGCCTGCATGTCAATAGCCCTGGGTGTCCAAGACAAAGAAAGGGTTCTTCCCCAGTCACCTCCTGCCCCAGATAAGCAGTAGGCAAAGGGAAGTTAAGGTTAGGCCCCCTCCGCTGGGGATATCTAACCAGGGGAGGGGGATGAATTCACATTTGTTTTGTTTTTGTGTTAGCCGGCTAGAAACCCTTGCAACCTTTGCAGCCCTGGGGGGTAAATGAAGGTAGCAACCTCATGGAAGACATAATCTCTCCACTCCAAAACCCTTGTCAATGACGGGAATGCAGCTACAATCCAGGAATGTACTGGTTTAGCCTTCCTCCTGACTTTCTCCTCCTTGGGTAAAAGGCCCCATCTTCACCCTAGACGGTCCCCTCCGGAGCTTCACCAACTGCCCTGTCCACCCACGGTGATGTATGTACAGCCAGAACTACCAGGGCAGATGGAGGACTTTTAGATACAGTCAGGCACCTGGGCCTTATCAAAGCTAAAAATACCTTCAAGACACTTGTGAACCCCCTGTGTTTTCTGTGAAGGAGTGAGGGGAGGGCTGGAGATTACAGAGGTCAAGGAAGCATTTCAGGGGTAAAGGAAGAAGGCCGGTTAGGGTTGGTCTGTGGGTGTCTGTCCCCTCCCCACCCAGCCCCCCGCTTCCCTTACACTGCACACAGACCACAGACAGCTCTCCAGGGGACTGACTCCCTGTGGACCTGCTGTAACCCAGGGTTAAGGCAGGGAAAGATCAAACTGCCACTCAGCCCATCTCACCCAGAACAATGGAGCTGTTTGGAAGGCAAGAGCAACAGAAAGGCTTTCATTGTGGACTGAGACAGGAGCAGGGCAGTTACTTAAAATGAGCCTCTGACATTTAGGAAGACCCACCAAGTGCCTGGCGAGGTGCTTACAGAGGTGAAATCACTGGGCTCGGCCCAGCCCTAGAGAAAGGACCTCGGAGGTGGTTTTTCTCCATGACGGCTGGCCAGTGTCCCCGAACCCTTTACCCATGGATCCCAATGCAGCTGGAAGAGCAGCAACACCCACGATCCCGTGCCAACTAGGAGCACTGAAAGTTGAAACCGTGCTAGTGCCAACCTCCTCCCGGGGGAGAGGATGAGCATGGTAACAAGCTGTGGCAGGCTGCAAGCAGTCCAAAGTTGCTAATTAGACACAAAGTGTCATTATTCATTCCTGTGAAAAATCCCACGTGTGAGAGTGAACTGAGACACCAAACAGTGAGACCAAACCCTCCACACTCACCCACCAACAGGGGGAGGGGAGGAGTGACTTTTTAAAAATATAAAATATTTGTAATTCACGTTGCCCAGTGTCACATAAGGGGATTGAAAATCCAATTCATAATGTGCACACAGATGTTTATAGCAGTTTTATTCATAATTGTCAAAACACAGAAAAATGGGGCCGGCTCAACGGCGCAGCAGGTTAAGCCACTGACTGCAATGTTGCTCTCTGTTCATGTCCTGGCTGCTTCAGTTCCAATCTAGGCCCGCTGTGCTTGGGAAAGCAGTGGAAGATGGTCTCAGTGCTTGGGGCCCTGCACCCATGTGGGAAACCTGGAAGAAACTTCTGGCTCCTGGCTTCAGATGGGCCCAGCTCCAGCCATTGCAGCCATTTGGGAAGTGAACCAGTGAACAGAAGATCTCTCTCTCTCTCTCTCTCTCTCTTTCTCTCTCTCTCCTTTCTTTGTAATTCTTTCAAATAAATAAATCTTCTTCTAAAAGATTTACTTATTTATTTATTTGAGAGGTAGAGAGACCAGAGAGAGAGTGGCTAAAAAGGAATTAGCTAGCAAGGCATGAAAAGACATGAAGGATCTTTAAATGCATACTACTAACTCTGAAAAGGCTACATACTGTCTGATTACAACTATATGACACTCTGGGAGAGGGAAAACTCTGGAGATAATAATAGAAAGATTGGTGATTGGGGGAGGAAGGGAAGGATGAACAGGCAAAGCACAGAGGATTTTTAAGGCAGTGAAACAATTTTGTATGATGCTAAGGTGGTGTATACAGGTCACCGTGTATTTGTGCATAACCCAGAATGCACAACACCAAGGGGGGACCCTAATGTAAACTATGGACTCTGAGTGATTACGGTGATGGTGACGAAGTACTGATGTAGGTTCATCGAGTGTTAACAGACGCACCCATCTGGTGGGGAATGCTGACAGCAGGGGAGGCTGTGTTTGTGGCATGGGAGGGGGCAGGAGGTATATGGAGCCCTGTACTTTCCTTTCCTGTAATTTTGCTGTGAGCCTAAAACTGCTCTAAAAAGTAGAGTCTATTTTTAAAACATTTAAGTGGTGTCATGTCACAGTGGGTTAAGCTCCACTTAGGCCGGCATCATATATGATGCCCATTCAAGTCCTAGCTGCTGCTCCATTTCCAATCCAAGTTCCTGCTATTCCACCTAGGAAGGCAGCAGAAGATGGCCCAAGTGCTTGGGCCCCTGCTGCCCATGTGGAAGACCCAGATGGAGTTCCTGGTTCCTGACTCAGCCTGGCCCAGCCCCAACTGTTGTGGCTATTTGGGGAGTGAACTAGCCAGCAGATGGAAGATCTCTCTCTCTCTCTCTCTCTCTCTCTCTCTCTCTCTCTCTCTCAAATAAATCTTCTTTTAAAACTCATTGTTGTTGAACCGGTCATACATATTTTCTCCAATCAAGTGGACTTTAAATGTCTCATTATGGAGGGTATGAGGAGGGGCCACTGTGCCTCAGTCTGGCTCCTGGTGAATCCACTCAAATTGTGCAACATAAGTGCCACCAAACCCTCCAGGAAATTTCCATTTCCCTCTGCCCAGTCCCTGTTACTCACCACCTGCGTGCCTTTCCTTCCTGAGCTTGTACACACACCTCTAACGTTGTTGATGTGTGGGACCAGCATCACACCTGGCCACTGCTCTGAGAGAGCTTTGTACTCTTTGTCAGCCTCCTCACCCGATTTGCATTCAAAGACATATTTGCCTTCAAAAGCACTATATTACACATTCAAAATACATGAGCTTTGTAAAAACCAGG